TTTTTTTTTTTGGTAAACAACATATTTTTGTAGGTTAGATAGAAATGTCCATAGGTAGGAAAAGTGAACCCATGGTTCGTATAAACAGGTTAGAATGTATTAGCATGTCTCATGTCTGGAAAAATTAACAAAAGATAATAGTACAAACCAAGAATTGGTTAGTAACTTGTATCATTAAAACTTACTACTAGTCAACGGTTTCCAATTTGAATTGGCCTTGATGACGATGCTCATTTATTATTGTCTTCATTTGTTTACAATTTAGTTAATTATGCTGCAGTGTCAAGCTAGACCTTGCGAAATTAAAGTATGATGTCTGTTACACAATATATGTCTTACGTCTACAAAAATCGCTCACACAATATTTGCCTTAACTCTACAAAAATGCACACATAATATCTGCCTTCAGTCAATGATGAAACGCAGTGTTCTTACAAGAAGGCTTAGAGAACGACAAGAACTACATTTACTTTGGCCAACAAATTAAGTAACAAGTACCGTACAAATTAAACAATCCTGCTCGAACCAATTAACCAGCTCGATACCAAGAAAATCTTCAATACGATATTTTCTACATGGTCACATGAAATAGAGATAAGCCTAACAACATTAGTAGGACAACTAAGCTCATCATGATCTGAAGCCCCAATTTAATAGAATGATCAGAAGCGTTAACCATAAGGTTAAAATTGTTACTCTATTTTTTGTTACTGATAATTCTTGGATATATATAAAAAAAGAACATGGATATACAGAACATTAGTAGAGCATGTGCATTTTTTTTATAAGAGAGATAAATGAAGAAAGCTTCAAACGATGTACTCAAATTATCATCAAATACAATTAACAAAAGTAGTTGTTTAATGTAATAACATGATCACTCAAGTTGACCATACACACACCCCTTGGATCTTCACATCCTTTGGTACCTTACCACACAAGTCAGTATCCGACGGCTGAAAACTCTCGAACACTCCGATCACTTGTCCTGTCTCCAATTTGCTCTCTGTCAACCATATTAACAAGGTTGGTTGTCTTATCTAGTGCTCTTGATCTTTCTGAACTCACCGGGAAAGAAGAACCCTAATCTCTCTGAGGAGACAACTAATCCAGCAAACACCAAAAAAGAAAGAAGAGTCTTATGTAAATGGACACAAATCCTGTTCTCATGGTAGGAAGCATCAATTTATAAATCCTATTTATAGCTTTGATTTTGTGCCTAGAACAACCCAAAAAAGGTTTCAACTTTCAACTTCAACAATTGTGCCACAAATCATCACTCATAAACCAAGTCATATCCATGAAAATCAAAAGAGAAGGAAATTAAACCATATTAAATAAGGTTGGTTGTGTAGTGCAGTTGATCTTTCTGAAGTCACTAGGAAAGAAGAGATGGAGACACAGCCAATGAAGAAAGGAAGCAATAAGTCTGATTTTAACCTCTAAAACAGATTCCATGTTTGTAGGAATGGTCTGCGATTGAACAAGAGTTTCGAGCTCGTTGTGTCAAACAATTCAAGGTTTCTCCAATGTTTACATTACTTGTATCATCAACAAGGGAAGCAAATGAGCAAAGTTTATACTCCCTTAATGATACAAGCTAGATGTGGAGAGAGTTTAGTGTCATAACAACTAGCACGAGAGAGTGATAGAGAAAGATCACTGACACAAATCTGGTTCTCATGGTAGAAAGCAGAGAGCATTATAAAATCATAAAAAAAAAAGGTTTCAACTTAATTTGTGCAGTAGAAAAAACCCATAAAAAGGTTTCAACTTTGAGTTCGTGCCTAAGCATTTGACAAACATGACTCATAAACCAAACTTATATCCATGAAAATCAAAAGACAAAGGAAACCATATCATCTACATTGATTCTGCTTTCATTCAAAAGACCATTGATTCTCTCTACGAACCGCTTCTTCTTCCTCAGGAGTAAAATCATTCTCAATCTGAAACTTCTCACGAATCTCCTCTGCACTACCACAAGCTGCAATCTGATCAGCAATCGTTTGACAAAGAAGATCAAGCAAACTTTTAACATTCAAGTAATTCGAAGCAAGGATCATCTCGAAAATCGTCGATTGATCGGTATTCACAAACTCAGCATCCCACTTCTTCAGATCTGCTATCTCCTCCTCCGTTAAAACACCACCATCACCGACGTGTCTCTGGCAATACTCGAGCACTTTCACGAGAATCTGGCTCGTTACGTTCGGTAACGGAACTTCGTTTTTAGCGCAGTCGTCTTCGATCAAGTGAGCTATGGTCTGCGATTGGAGCGCGACGGATTCATCGACTTCGAATGTATCACCATCGGAGGTTTTCAACACGATCTTCTTCTCTTCTGATGTCGACAAGGTTCGGAATCGATGAGAGATTTCTGATATCGACATGAGAGATAGATTTTGGGAATTGAGAGAAGATGAGAGCGATGATGAAATGAAATCCCTAATTTTTATATACAAGAACCCTAATTTTTTTAGAGTCGGTCCGAAACCGGATTCACCCAGATCGGTATGATAAAATTAAGTCATATTGGAGTGGAGTAAACCATGGTAAACCGGATCC